ATTGCTGTGCGCAACTAGCTGCCATGTCTCACTCACAAAATATAGTGACTCCACTTTACAATCTAGCTGGTAAAGCACTTGGAGATGTCTCAACAACATGATAAAGCGTTGTATCAAATGCAAGGATTATTTTTATGAACACATCGCCAAGGTGACTCACAGTGCTTTACAGGATATACTGTAATGTGGTGCGACTGTGTATTTTGTGGGCAACAGTAAGCAATAAAAAATTCTGTATTATAATACAATACAAACATTTCTAAACTAACCTTCTGGCTGGAATTGCCACTCTGATAGTCAGTCACTGTATGGCAGGTTATGTGTTCTCAGAGTTAGCGTGTGTCTGCATTTTAATCATTTCCAAAATGAAATTGGTTGTTTTGGAAACAGAACATCACTTGGGCTGGAAGTTTATACAAGGTTCTGTGCACATCGAGCTCCATAGAGACCAATGGTAAATCCTATGTTAATATGAGATCACAAGTGTCTGCGAGTGAGATACAAGACAATAAATCGAGACAAATCCAAACAGGGACTCTTGACCTCTGTAAATAGGATCAAGCGCCAGCTGATTATTATTATTAATATCTTTCAAAATACTCCTTGCATTTGATATCACCTCTTATCATTGAAATATGTTCAAGTACAGGGTGTCCACAAAGTCCTGTTACACCCCCTGTTATAAACAGTGACATGATATGATATGAGACTACGGAGGAACTGAAACAAGTTGTCAGAGATGCTTTTCGTCTCGTCACTCCATCCATGTTACAGAAGATGTGGCACCAAACATGGCGACAGATCATTATCTGCCAAGAAAATGATGGAGTTCACACATTCACACCGATTGATCCTCTAGAAGTCTATAATAATAATAATAATAATCCTTGTATTTGATATAGCGCTTTTCACGTCGGGAGGACGTCCCAAAGCGCTTCACAGAACACACTGTAAAGTGAATTGACTGTACATTTGTGGGCGAACGCGGCAGCCAATTGCGCACAGCAATGTCCCACAAACAGTCGTAGATTGAAAATGACCAATTTAATTATTGTTTTTGGTTTTTGGAGGGATTATTATTAGGCGTGTGGAGTAAGGAAACTTGCCCAAGGTTTCGCCCTGTCTAAATACAGTTAAACACTTGTAACTGAACACAATGTAGGTACTTCTAAATACCTACCATCATTCTTGCACATGTTTCAGTTGTTGGTCAGTGCACTGTAGAAACAAAAGCAGGGAAGAAATCGGACATTGTGAACATTCTGTACTTCACCCGACTTTACTTACTGTGAGATGACACTTTGTGACTGTGATTAAAGACTCTGTGAAATTTAGTTACTGCGCAATCACGACACAGAAGATCTTTGCAGAAGATGCAGGCAGCCAATTTGCACACCACCAGTGTCCCACAAACAGCCATGGCGTTAGTGACCAATTCTCTTTGACCGAGCCTTCAGCTCCCCTCTCGACTCTCTTCCCCCTCCTCGCTCCCTCCCTTCCCTCCCCTCACCCTGACCATTTCCCCCCTCCTTGCTCCCTCCTTTCCCTCCCCTCACCCTGACCATTTCCCCCCTCCTTGCTCCCTCCTTTCCCTCCCCTCACCCTGACCATTTCCCCCCTCCTCGCTCCCTCCCTTCCCTCCCCTCACCCTGACCATTTCCCCCCTCCTCGCTCCCTCCCTTCCCTCCCCTCACCCTGACCATTTTCCCCCTGCTCGGGTCATGACCCAACTGTGCAGCGCCTTGGGACGTCCTCCTGACGTGAAAGGCGCTTTATAAATGGAATCTTGTTGTTGTTGTTGTTATCTTGGGGATTGTTGGCCAGGACACTGGGAGAGAGAAACTCCCTTCTCTTTTCAAGTAGTGCCATAGGAATCTTTAACGTCCACCAAGACTGGTAGACCTTTATTTCCTCCATCCTTTATTCCATTTGAAACACATACTTGAAAAGACATTTTTTTAATGGATGAGCAAGACTGGAGGCTGTGAGTCTCGATCTCTGAAACATTTCTCGCATTGCACTGTATACAGGAATAAGCAGGAAACATATTTAATCATTTGTGATATTCAGAGCAACAAGGGATGTTCTTTCAGTATTATTATTATTATTACACCCCCTCTCTCTCTCTCTCTCTCTCTCTCTTTATAATCCTGCTAAAAGCATCTGATTGGAGCTGTGAGTGGAACAGTGGCTGTACAAATTAGGGGGAAATAAAATCCACAAGAAATCATTTGAATTGAATTTGCCGTAAAGCAGGAGGACTATTTCAGACCAATCTGACTCTGGAGTTTTCCTCTTTCGATAAAGGATTAGACTAATGTCTGGTTTATGATCTGCATTGAGAGCATCGCTTGAAGTAGTCAGTCTCCCGCAATATGCGCTGATGATCCTGGACTTTGTTCCGGCAGCTTTTACGGGATATGTAAAAAGGAGAAGACAGGCTTTAAAAACCATGACCCTGACCGATGATTTAATTCAAACCCTGAGTATCTGTGTTCGGGGAAGCAGCATCAATGAGCTTTTCCAGTAAGTCTGGTAATGTCAGAAACTCTTGTGGTTAACTTATCACATGTGTCAGGTTAAATGGTGTTAGTGGTTCTGTGCTAATGAATATTATTTAACTCAGAGTTAACTTTCTGACTTGTTGGCTCTTTGTTACGGGCAATATTAATTTTAATCCTTTTAATTGTGATAACTTACGAAATAAATCTCTTGTGAACAAGCAGGTCAACACTCAAAGGGGATATTGCAATTGATCCTTTCTGTTTGTTTTTCTATATAAAATGTGGCTTAGCTAATTTGCATTAGGTGAGAACAGACACAAGCCAAGGCTTGGAGACGCTAGAGTATGTGTTGGGCGTAACTGCTGGAGTTTAACCAGCTAAAAGAATATAATTTGCCATTGAGAGAATCTAGTTTAGACTGAATCACAGACCTGGCAAGCTTTCCGCTGCATGTCCAGCCAGAGCAAGCAACATCAGTGTGAAGGTTTTGTGATGTCTCCAGTAGCTTTAGCATTGAAGAGTAAAATAATACTATCTCTGAACAAACACCAACTAAAACCGCTCGCGCTGGCAAATGTGTAACAAGACAAACAAGGTCTTTTTATGAGAATGAATCTGAAGTAATGATTCAAAGGAAAAATTTCAAAAAAGTTCCCTTCCTCACTGGTGCTTTTTCTTTTTTTTTACTGGTTGATAATTTGACTCAGATCAAAGTTTTCAAACACCGAATGTCACGAAAGTGAAACTCTCTGACGGCCTTTCTGCCATCGATGCTCTCAAGCGCTGCAGGTACAGGAATACGAGACTGTTACTGTACTCAGTCGGGGGGGGGGGTGTACCTTCCTGGTACACAGCGTGTCGGACGCCACTTTAAGTCAGTTCTTGAGCACTTTGTGCGCTGAGGCTGTGAGCATTACTGGACCCAACAGCTCTGTGATTCAGCCTAAACTCGATTCTCTTTCCTGTGTCTGTTTGCTTCTCTCTCTTTCTCTCGCTCGCTTTGCTGTCTGTTTTTTCACTTGGATAATTCTATGTGTGTGAGTGTCTTTCTGTCGTTCAGGTGCTCGATGCTTATCATTGTAATGACACCTTCGCAAACAAGCTACACAATAGAGATTATTTTGAATTGCACGACAGGGATTATTTTGTGAAATGAAACAACACACTCCCTGACCAGCGCTTTTTATATCCCTTGAAATAATCCTGCAAAGTCACACAATGTAACAGTCCTGGCCACAGGAAGCGGTTTATTGCTGGGAACAGGATATTGTTTGTTTTCGACCCAAATGCCCTTCTTTATTTGTTTATTAGTATTTCTGGACCATCGGGTTTCCATACCGTTCTATTCAGGACATTAAGTTCTTAATAACTCGACTCTGGCTCAAGTTGTCACTACCACTTAAGTCGTCATGCTGTCAATCTCCCAGCCGCATCTGTTTATGTACAGTATTTATACATATGCCAAACTCGCGGATAACTAGTCACTGAGCCCTTTATCCTTGGAATGATGAGTTATCAGGAGTTACTGTAGTTTCTGTGGAATCACTTGTTTTTGTATTTGGGGTTTGCAGAGGATGCCATCTCATCATGTCTAAACCACAAAGAGCCAATTGACGGATTTACAGACCATCAATTATTCCTGCTTCCCTCTATTCCTTTCCATTTGCTTTGTCACTTCTGTTTCTCTCTGTGCAGTTTTCTGTTTCTTACTGTGCAAACACACCCTGGTTCTTGCTTCATACTCCTGCCCCAACCATCCACAATACACCCTACAACCACCAAATACCTTGCCCGCCATCAAATTCTGCCGCACCCCAGGAGTCAGATGCTTCATGGAGGCAGCAGCAAAGCTTAACAGTGACTGGGTTCAAAGGGCAACAAAAGGATTTGAACCTCGTTACGCAGTGAGAATATCAAACTTCCCATTGGATCCTCATCTCAGTGAATTCCCACCATTCCAACATCTGGAAGCCAAACATTTTCACCCATAAAAGGGGCAGAGAAATTAGTGGGGCGTCCTGCCTCAGCCAACGTTACACACTCCATGCGATGTTGGCACATCATTGACATTATTTATCCCTATGGAGCCCTATAGTACACAGCGGCTCCAGCGCACTCACCAGCTCGGGAGCTATCGTGTCGCATCCAGCTGTGCGGCCCTAACTATAGGCCAGGCTGTGGTTTCAGGAGAAGAGAAAACTGAAGGAGAAAAAAAAAATAGCGGAGAGAAATATTTAAATTGAAAAAAGAAATTGCTATGGGCTACTTCTCGCGATCTGCCAATCGCAGAGTGGACTTGTTACTGTAAGGCTGGTGTGTTGGGGACCTGTTGACGAACTTCCCACCTGCAGATCCGAGGATTCCTAATGGACGTGTCTCTCAGTGGTTAAGGAGCACGAGGCAGGGTCCGTTTTACAATAACCCAAAACATGCACAAAATTAACTTGTAGAATGTTCATCATAAATTTTATTTTATTTAAAAAAATATCTTGTTTGTCAAAACTCTGCATAGCAGAGAGTATCAATGGGAGTTTTAGTCCCACATAGTGTAAACATATCGTTTCAATGTAAACAGTTAGAATGTTCAAGTAAAACAGGATGCTACAAAAGGCAGTAATCCAGGTGTGGACACGACAGGTATTTGCGGCCATCCCTCCAAAATGCCCAGGTTCCATTAGCTCCTCTTCACGTGTCCTGGTGGGGATAATGCTGCTTTTAAATCCGAAATGGAAAGACGTCAAGATACTCTCTGAAAAATGGATTTAACGGGAGCCGAGCAGTGTTCTCCTTCCCAAATGATTCAATAATCCTTTTCCTGCAGATCTCCTGCAGAGACTGCAACCTGACCTTCCGAAGAGGCTTGCCGAGAAACTTCTGGGGCGAGACTGTAAAGTGTTCGATTAACTTCATAACACAGTCGAACGACTCGTTGTGGCAATCCAGCCTGAAGAGTCCGTCCCGCAACCGTATCCTGGTGCTGATGGCCTCGCCGTGGGTACTCACACTGAGCGAGAAAAAGCAATTGTTCTGACTGCTGTCCCTGATCAAGAAGGTGCCCGGAGGCTCACTCTTTAGCTTGCTGTGAGCAACTTCCACTGTCATCGGCCCCCAGTAAAACCCACTGGCCTCCAGGTACCTGGATGCCCTGTTGACAATGAGGTAATCATCCATAGACCTGAACGTCGAGAAGTGAGTTTGCGGCTGGTGTCTGGCCCCGTCCCGCGGCTCTCCAGGCTGTCCAGGCTGGGCTCCGGCCTCCGCGACCTCCACTATCTGAGGCTGCAGTCGCTCTCTGGCATTGGCGGCTCTGTCAGTCAGATCACTGTCCGCCACCATCCTACAGCAACCACCAGCTGGGGTGGGCTCCCATCGCTAGCAGCCTCTTTGCAGTGCAGAACAGCAGTCCTGTGAGAGAGAGAGAGAGAGAGAGAGAGACAGTCAGACTGTGAGCTCCTGGAAGACTTCAAAGTCAGCACAGTAACAATAATAAGGGGTTGTCTTCCCATCGTTTCCTCGAGCTCTTATTGTGGTTGAGAGATGGGTTATCAGAAGGCGGACCTGTCGCTGTGACATGGGCAGGTTTAAGACAGCCACAGGTTAGGATAGGCGAGCGCTGTGAGTGTAATGTGTCACCAACTTCTGCTTTAGTGACCTGTGCCACAGACACGCTCACAATTCTGTAAGGTTCCCCCCCTCCCCCCACACCCCCCCCCCACTGCTCAGCCCCACGCCCAATCCCCGGGCTGACATGTAATGAAAGCAGGTCAGGTTTAAACACACTCAATACCTTCACCCACTCTCATTATCCTCCCACCCCACCCCCCCTAACCCCCACACGCGCACTCAATACCCACCCCCCTACACACTCATACACACGCAATACCCTCTCACCCCCACACACACTCAATACCCTCTCCCCCCCAAACCCTTCCAATACCCCCACACACACACTTTTTGTTTTTTGCAGGTGTAACTGAGAGCCATTATATGTTGTAATGTAGAGCATTTCTCTCCCTGTCCTGTCCTGTAGTGCCTGAGAGGGGCTGAGAGCTTCAGCCTCAATGTTCACTGCCTCTTTACACCCATGGTGGTGAGGGTGGGGCACGACCCCCCCCCCCCTCTCCCCCACTTTCCTCAGCTCCAACAAAACATTTCAACAGCAACTTCAGCTCCGCACACAAGTCTAAAGCCATGTCAGTCAGTCTGGCCGCTGCCCAGCCATCACCATCAGCCATCAGCCATCACCATCAGCCATCACCATCAGCCACCGGGTCTCTCTCACTCACTCACACTCTCAGCCACAGCGATCCTCAGCGCAACATACAGCACCGGCCACTGGCCCTCCAACATGTCCCGCAACTCAGTCACTGCAAACCTGACTGCTCACACCGGCTACACACACACTGCACACACACACACACACACACTGCACACTATACACACTACACACACTGCATACACACACTACACACACACTGCACACACACACACACACTGCACACTATACACACTACACACACTGCATACACACACTGCACACTACACACACACACTACACACACACACACTGCACACTATACACACTACACACACTGCATACAAACGCTGCACACACTGCACACTACACACACACTGCACACTACACACACTGCATACACACACACACACTGCACACACTGCACAAACACTGTACACTACACACATTAATAATAATAATAATAATCCTTGCATTCGATATAGTGCTTTTCACGTCCCAAAGCGCTTCACAGAACACTCTGTAAAGTGAATTGACTGTATATTTGTGGGCGAACGCGGCAGCCAATTGCGCACAGCAATGTCCCACAAACGGTCGTGGATTGAAAATGACCAATTTATTATTGTTTTGGAGGATTATTATTATTATTAGGGCTCTGTGTGGAGTAAGGAAACTGCCTGAGGTTTCACCCTGTGCCGGGAATTGAAATCAGGTCTCTCACTTGCAAAGTGAGTGCTCTAACCACTGAGCTACAGGACTCCACACTGTACACTACACACACTGTACACACTATACACACACTGTACACACTATACACACACTGTACACACTATACACACACTGCACACACTATACACACACTGCACGCACTATACACACACTGTACACACTATACACACACTGCACGCACTATACACACACTATACACACACTGCACACACTATACACACACTGCACACACTATACACACACTGCACACACTATACACACACTGCACACACTATACACACACTGCACACACTATACACACACTGCACACACTATACACACACTGCACACACTATACACACACTGCACACACTATACACACACTGCACACACTATACACACACTGCACACACTATACACACACTGCACACACTATACACACACTGCACACACTATACACACACTGCACACACTATACACACACTATACACACACTGCACACACTATACACACACACACTATACACACACACACTATACACTCTACACACACACACTGCACACACACTGTACACTACACACACTGCACACACTATACACACACTGTACACACTATACACACACTGCACACACTACACACTGCACACACTATATACTACACACTGCACACACACACTGCCCACTACACACACACTACACACACACACTGCCCACTACACACACACTGCACACACACACTGCCCACTACACACACTATACACTACACACTATACACTACACACTATACACTATACACAATACGTACAACCCACAGTACCCACTGAGGGCTCTGATGTATGAATTGGGGCTGAAAGCGGATTCTTACCTCTTCTGCATCAAAAACGATCGCTGTGATCGGAACAACTGCCGCTCAGCGCCGCTCCGGGCACTGCACTGTGCAAACACACACACACACACACACACACACCGGGGAAGGACTTTGTTTAACAAAAATACCCCTTCGGCTCCTTTAGTAGTTATACCACAACCTCTCCCCCGGTCCCGGTCCCGGTGTCGGTGTCAGTGTCGGTGTGGGTGTGGGTTTAGAGGCTATTGTAGGGGGAGAGAGAGAGAGTGAGTGTGTGAGTGTGTGTGAGTGGCAATGCCTCTCTCTCTCTCTCTCTGTGTGAGTGTGTGTGTGAGTCTCTCTCTCTCTCTCTCCTGTAAAAGGTTTTTATCCCAACTCCTCCCCTTAGAGTTACAGAGGGAGGGGGTCAGTGGGGGGAGGCGATGCTCTGGGGGGGGGGGGGAGGGGGGGGAGGAGGTGATGGAGGAGCACTTCCAAGAAATGATTGGGGCTCTGGTTTCAAACGAGGTGTCTCTTCTCGAGAAATCCTCCCATTTCACTTTCAGTTTCACTTCTCGTCGCTTCTACAAAATGTGTTTACGTTGTTGGTTTTTTTTTTGGTGTGTGACTGTGTGTCTGTCTGTGTGTGTCCTTTGAAGGGGGGGAGAAAGGGGGGGGGGGGAAGGGTGGGGAGGGGGGAGGGGAAGAAGAAAGGGGGGAGAGGGTGGGGGTGGGGGTGGGGGGGGGAGAAGGTTTGCGGGAGGTTAAGCACAAGGCTGTATTTCCTGCGAGCGTTACTCAGCCGTTGGCGTCTTTCACGCTCGAGCCTCACGGCGACTCCGACCCGGCTCTGTAAAGAGACTCGGCGTTAAAGGAAACTTAAAGAGACTCTCCCGCTCATAAGGAGGCGAGACTTGCCGCCGGTCTCTTCGTGGGCAGCGTCCTGAGTGCCGGCGAGGCTCGGGCGCGGAAGCCACGCGGGCTGGTTTCCCCGCAGCGCCCGGAGTTTTACCCGAAATGACAGCAGGTTTAGAACGAGACTGGCAGCGCGCCCGGTTGGGTCGGGCGGGGGGGGGGGGGGGACGGGGCGGGGCGGGGGGTAGGGAGGGTGGTGGGGGGAGTTTGAGGGCGTCATCTCAGGGATGAGGGGGCAGCTTCCAGTTCAGAGAAAGCCCAGGAGAGAGGGTTTTTTTTTGAGTGGGGGGAGAAATAATAATTTAGTCACTCAATCCGCGACTGTTTGTGGAACGCTGCTGCGTGCAATTGGCTGGCATCTTTCGCCCACCAACTACACAGTCACTTCGCTTTACAGTGTATCCCGTGAAGCGCTTTGAGACGTCTCAACGACGTGATAAGGCGCTGTATCAAACGCGAGGATTATTATTATGAGAGTTCAGAGCGAGGTGGCACCTTGCGAGCCTTTACTTTTGCTGTTACAACAATCAGTTTACGTCTTAAAAAAAAGTCTTTTCAAACAAACCTGTATGTTTTTAATTAATCTAATTTTTTTTTATTTATAAAAAAAATAATAAACTTTGGCTCTAATCCTTTGGCTAATCATCTAACTCTGTTGCAGCACGAACCGTTTCACAAGAGATGTGATGGGTTTGGTCCCCGTTTGCTGCTGCGATCGCAAAGAAATGTTGTGTTTTCAGATGAAAATAGATCTATGTATGCAGCCGAAAATATCCAGCGCCTCTCTGCCTGGTGGAGAAAAAAACGTGGGGGGAGAGAAAGGGACAGTGAGAGAGTCTGCTCCTGGCTGGGCTGGGGGCTGTGTGTAGTGTTTGCTCTGTGGGTGTGTGTCTGTGTGTCTGTCTCACTCACCCTAGTGTGCCCTGTGCCTGTGCTGGGCTGAGGGCTGTGTGTAGTGTTTGCTCTGTGGGTGTGTGTCTGTGTGTCTGTCTCACTCACCCTAGTGTGCCCTGTGCCTGTGCTGGGCTGAGGCTGTGTGTAGTGTTTGCTCTGTGGGTGTGTGTCTGTGTGTCTGTCTCACTCACCCTAGTGTGCCCTGTGCCTGTGCTGGGCTGAGGCTGTGTGTAGTGTTTGCTCTGTGGGTGTGTGTGTGTTTATCTCTCTCTCACTCGCTCACCCTAGTGTGCTCTGTGCCTGTACTGAGGACTGTGTGCAGTGTTTGCTGTGTGTGTGTATATGTGTGCATGCGTGTGTGTGTGTGTGTGTCTCTCTCACCCCAGCTCTGAGCACACGTGCTTTATGGTAAACCAGCCTGGGACTGCGGTGGGTGCCTTACGTTCAGAGCCAGATATGGTCTCCTCACTACACGCTACAAGAGGAAGCGCAGTTGCACCGCAGAGTTTTACTATAAAGTTCAGGAAGGTGTTTGACTCTTTCCCGGAATCGTTTTCTGACCTCCTTAGACTGACTGGATTTCGGGGAAGTGTCACTGAAAGTGTAAACTATCAAAAGCTGCTCAAAGCTCCACAGATGACATTACCAGCAATGTCACCAATGATTTTTTTTTATTCATCTCCCCCCCCCACCACCACCATTTCCTTGAATCCAACCAAATCCCTCGTTCCCCACTGCAAAAGGCAAGTTGAGTAAAACGCTCCAGAGTTGTTATGGGGAGGGGTGGGGTGGGGGGAGAGTGGAGGCTAATTGGCAATCAGTCATTTGAATGAGTTAACTTACTGTCAGAACCATAGTGAGACAGACCCTCTCCGTTGTAATTTTTTTACACACGCACACTGAGGTGCGAGCTATAATTAGTGCATCGATGGATGGGTCACCAGAGTGTAAACCCTGTCTGGTTTTCTGTAAGTGTGTCATGTGCGATACGGTAAAGTGAGACAGTGACTGAAGTGGGAGAATTCACCACTCATTCAAAGCCTGCTGACTATCGGCACACAAAAGCAGTTAAGACAAAGCACTTCCTCAACGTAATGTCAAATTACTCTTAGCGCAAGATAGCGGAGATACAAGCACACACATTAATCCACCTTGGATGTCCCTATGAAATATTTAGTATTTATAAAACATAAAATATTTTGCCACCTACAGAACTGTGATTTTCCACACGGGGCAAAACTACAGGGCAAATATGGTACCATTTTTGGTCCTCATTTGCTCATCAACAAATTGTTCCGAAATTCTATTTTGAATGAAAATATTAAATGGTTCTCAGAACCGCACCAGAGGAACACGTGCGATCCAGTGCGGAGTGATCTGAAGGTGAGCTGACCGGCTGACTTTTGTTTAGCTTGTTTTACGATGTGAGTATCTAATGCAAAGCAATGGGATGTTACGAGCATAGCGTATATATGTGTGTGTGTGTGTGTGTGTGATTCAGCGAGGATGACATTTGTGGTAAGGTTCAAGGGTCAGTTTTTGGTATAAGGTTTAATCATAACTGTTAGTTACCAGGTGAATGTCTCTGCGCAAGTGAATAGGCAAACTGTGTAGAGGAACACGGAGCTCTACAATGAAGCTCAGGTGCATGGAAGATGCTAGATTGTCTGGAACATCCCAGTGCAACCAATGTAAGAGTCAGTGACCGCGAGGGAGGGGGCTATATTCGTGCGTGGGATATTTTTACAGAGATGAATAAAAAGCATGTTGGTGACTTATATTTAGATGATGGTTATTTCTGTTTAGTCTGGGGGCGGTGTGATATTTGCACCACTCAGGAACAAAATAAGCACCAGACAAGCAGATAAAACCTTAGCTTGCAATAGTTAGTCAGCACTCAATAACCCAGGATATGGGAAGCATTCTGGTAAATTTTGGTATTTGCAGGCAGACACAGGTTCAATAACTAGGTCATTGGTCACTCAGGGACTTACGAATATGTAACCATTGATACAGTATGAGAAACCTAACTATTCACTGGATTTAGCCATTGTTCCAGCATTAAACCGTGGACGAGAATAACACACCCCAATATATAACACTACTGCACAAACCAGAATAATACAACCTAGTGTATGACCCACCTTAAACCAGAATAACACAGCCTATGTATAACACTACAGTACAATGGGTATATTGCACCACTGAACATCCTGGTAAAATCTGAATGGAATTAAAGCCCAGAGCTGTCTGACACCGGAATCTCCTCAGCAACCTATTTTGTGGGATGTGCTCTGTGCATAGTTATGCCCCAGGGAATCCAATCTTCACAAATAGCTGTCCCATAAACAGTCGTGAAGTGAACAATCAATTTTATTGTTGGGGATTGTTGGCCAGGACACCAGGAGAAACTCAGTTCCCTTTTCTGTTCCATGGGAGCTTTAGGGTCCACCAGAACAGGCAGATAGGTCCTTGTTTTAGCATCTCATCCAAAGGACTGCACATCTGACAATGCAATGCTGACTCCCAACACTGCATTGGAGCGTCAGCCTAGTCTGTGAGCTCAAAGTCCCAAAGTGGTGTTTGAACCCACAACCTTCTGATTCACAGGCTACAATAAGCCATCATTAAAACCCTCTTAAAGTAAATTACACAAAACTATTTCTTGAAGAAACATATTTCTATTTTCGTTTCTTCCTCCATGGATGCTTCCTCCATGCATGCTCTAATATTCAACTGATAAGCAGCTTTAAGGGTATCATTAATATTACTTCTGCCAAGAAATATGTTTGCATAAGTCTGGACAAGGCTCTGCCCACACCCATCACCACAAGACCAGTCCTTCATTCTCCTCCGATGATCCAGGCTGGTTTACCCAGCCACTGGGAAAGCCCAGTGGGACTGCCAGTCATAAGTGCATTTTGAGTTCAGGTCTTTTCAGTAACTTGCTAAAATCCAATGGAGGATGTAGTAATTTCTTAATTTTCCAGTAATTTTCCAGTTTAGTCAGAACTGCGTAAGTGTTTACCAGCCTAACCTACTGATAAATTAAATGCACTAGCCTCTAAAATTCTTCATACCATTGGCGAATTGGAATGTGCTCCCCGCTTACGGTTAGGCTCTGAATATTTGTGGGGCTGGTGAGCACATACTTTCTATTTGCAAATATAGCTGTTTTTATTTAGACTGGAAATATTAGCTGCACCACTATTTGAAGTTTTACAGCGTTGCCACACAAGTCTTCAAATTCACAGAAGTTCCCTGAAGGAGGACGAAGATTTCTTTGATAACATTGATGGATCTAATCCTGATGTCTTTCAGGGTGTTTTGTTTACCCCACTTTGGGGTCAAAATTTACAATATGCTTGTGAATGACGTTCCAAATGGGGAGCACGTAGATAAGGTAAAGGAGGGGACCGAGCAAGG